AGGAGCGAAGGGAATACTCCGTACTTCCAGGTATGGAGGAACATGTGACAACGCTCCACCAGTAAGCCGAGTCATGTCTCATGAGGGGAATACCCCGTACTTCCAGGTATGGAGGAGCATGTGACAACGCTCCACCAGTAAGCCGAGTCATGTCTCATGAGGGGAATACCCCGTACTTCCAGGTATGGAGGAGCATGTGACAACGCTCGACTAATAAGCCGAGTCATGTCTCAGCTATGACTCCAGTGACTCAATGGGGTCATAGCTGAGACATGACTCTACTTATTGGCCTACAGGAAACTTTTCTATTGCTCCCGGAGGCTGAAGACCTCATCTTGAAGGGATTGTCCACTCTGGAGAAAATTTCCACCAGAACCTGACTTTTAGCTGCATTGTGAAGGGATCATTCCTGGAAAATGTCTTTTGTTACACCATTTTAGGACCTGTCATAGAAGCTGCCATTACTATCTATGCCATTTCCCTGGATGTCATGCGGACGTCGGCCTTTAATACTTTGATTTACTGACCTGGACTGAATTAATGATTACATTGTAAAATACTGCTAGCAATAGTACCTGAAATCTGTATTTATTTTAGCTTTCTGTATTCCCCTCCACACTGGCACTTTGGCTATTGGGTGTAAGGTCAGAAAGGGCTCTACAGTGTTGTCACTCTAATACAGGAACTTTGATTACAGGAGGGGAGAGCACAGGGTTCACCTCACTTCTTCAGGCTGGGGGCGGAGAGGTGACCAAAGAAACAGAACATTTTGGTACTGTGGTCACCCGGCACACCGGCAAGTTCTATTACCACCAGGGCAAGGCTATTAAACTGCGTGCATGTGTGAGGCATAACATGAGGATCCCGAGCTTATGATTGTTTGCCCGGAGTTCTGCTTTAAATATTGATTTACTGAGCATAGGTTATAAGTCGATATCTGAACCCAAGTATGTCATATATTGCAACTTACAAACCTTAGATGTGGCGGCTGCATTCGTTTTCTTTTTTCAAGCTAAAACAATTTCCAGTGAGCACAGAACATATACCAGAAGTGAAAGGTGCTTGGACTCAAAGCAACTCAATGTTATCTGGTAACTACTACTCTCATCAGTCCCAATGGAGATAAGACCTAAAAATTGCTTCAAGGGTCTGATGTGGAAAAGTTGGAAAGGTTGAGAAAGGCTGGTTTGGATGCTGCTTAGTCTAACCATACTTACTCATTCACAAGGGGGCCGCATCTGGGTGCCCCCTTATTAAAGGGGTACCTTGATGTGAATAAGCCCCCCCCCTTTCCGAACCCCCTCAACCAACGCCCCAGGGCTTGTAAGGAAGAGGCCCTTGTCCCAATCGGCACAGGGACAAGGTGCTTTTCCAGGGGCGACCCTGGAAAAGCACCCTCCCAGTGACAAGGGCATGTGGCCTGGAATGGGAGGGAGGGGGGGGGGCAC